ACACACAAATGAGATGTAAATTTGACCGTTTAACTTTCACGTGGTACATTTCGGATAACACTAATGCAGCCAGCAATAATTTTTAAATCTCGCAACTCGATAAATATTTAATGAAAAAATATTTTATTATAGTGTTTTGGAAAACACTTTCGAGATGAGCTATAAGAATATGTAATGAAAAATAGTGAATTTAAAGAGATTGAGGGTGACCTTGACGTGACCTTTAAGCGACTATCCAAGGTCAAACTAATGATATTTTATGGTTCCTTGAGACCATACAACTTTTGTCTGAAACATTTTATCGTTAAATGTAAGGAAAAGGAAATATTTCGGGTTATAGATTAAATGGATTATTCTGTATACGTTGAAATATGTGCATTCTAAAATTACTTTTGATAAAGATATCGATTAGGGGACCAAGCTCCAATGATTTTGACCTTGATGTATGTTATCAAGATTATAATCCTGAGTGAAAAGTTTGAAAAAGTAATGTCTTATTTCGGCTATATATAACATCAGAAACTGTTCTAAACTATATTCACCTACTACATTCCACCTTTTCTATTGGCGCGCGACTTTCCACACGAATACAAGTTCATTGCTTTAGCAGAAAATTTGAGTAAATATGTAGTTTAGGGTTAGGATTAGGAGAATTAAGAACCCTAACGAAATCATGTATCGTAATCATGTATCGTAAACCATGTATGCAGAGTAAAGCAGGAAAAAATTTTCTCTTTTAAGAACAAAAGTTATATAAGAAAATATGAAAGTCGTGCGCTCCCAGGAGGAGTCGCTTCGCGTAAAAAGTTGTAAAATAAAAGTTGTAAAATTTTAAAGCAGAAAATTTCTGTTTTATATGATGGAAAAGAGATATCGTATGCATTATTTCTTAAACGTTCTTTTTTTGTTAATAACTTTTTAATGAAGAACGAGTGATAATTAAAACTTGTTGGAGGTCACTCAGGGCCATGACCTTAACAACATATGTCAAGATCAAGTTTATTAAAGCTTAATCTCTTAATTGCTTTTACCTTACTTTTATAATATAAAAATCTGTAGTAATATAAAAAAGATATTACATAATTTTCTTCGATTATGTCTTGTACATATATGTCATATCTTTTTACAGCGACATGTCAAATTTAATACATGTGCCATTATCAGAGTCCGAAAATGTAACTACATTAGAATGGACGCGTCCTGATCAAGTGATGCAATTACATCGTATGAAATTAAAAAAGCGTGCACTTCAAGCGCGTATAAATAAAATGACTATTAATACTGGCACTCAACAAACGACTACGAATTTAGATGAACTTAACTCTAGTAGTAATGTACTGCAATGTATATCTTACTGCCAAAAGCGTAAGAATCCTTTTCCAATCAGTGAAACGTGTAAGAAACAAAAAAATATAATGTCTTCTGGATTAGACATCAGTAACGACAATACATTGTTCGAATTACTAAATATTGATGGCCGACGAAAGAAATCAACGGCAGAAGATTCATCTATAAAAAATTCCTTAACTTTTACTAATGTACTTTCAAAATTAGAATCAATTAATCAGATTCCAAAAATAAATCTCTCAAAGGGAGCAAAGCATGTTCCTATAGATTGGACATTGAAAACTAAAATGAGGTTTATGTCTTTGAAGCCTTTTCCATGGAATTGCAAACTCAAAACGAGCGAAGAGGCATCAGGTACTACAGGATTTGTAAGATGTTTAAATATCGGAGAAAAAGAGACAACTTTGGATACTAGTCCAAACGCAAGGTTAGTTTTATTAATTTTTGTCATTATTCTATAATACTATTTGTTTTTTAAGTCTTGTAATAATAATCATTAAATATTCTTATTAGATTTCATCAGTGTTGCTTAATATGGCAACATCCATCTATACCATGGTTAGAATTATTTCCTCGCTCTGCTAACAAAGTGAGTGCATCTCTCGCAAATAATACATTGACAGTAAATAATCAAAATATGAAAGATGCATTATACCGAGAATGGTGTGATAGCTTCAGATCTCTATTTCACTTATTGCGAGCAAGGCAATGTCCATACTTTTATGTGTGTGCGAACACATTTACGGTGCTCTTTCGTGCTGCTGGCATTTGCGGATTGTCGGAGATTCATGCACTTGTTACACCCACAACACGTGGATTTCGGCAATCATTAAAACAAGAAGGTAGAGAATTTTGTTTAATTATTTCATTTAGTTATTTATTAATAAAAAAATATGTCTTTAATGGTAATATAAGTACTACATGTTCAATACTAATAATGAAGTATTAGCTATATGATGAAAAATAATCTTAACTCCATCAAACTCTATGTACATATATTATTAATAATGTTATTATATATTATTATA